CACTCGAACCGATGACAAGAGACAGTTCTCAGACTTACACTTACCAGACGTCAAGGCCGAATTGCCTTTTGCCGTACACATCCTGCTTGTCGCGATGAACGGAGCGTATAAGCTTCTTCAGGACAGTTTGCCTTTTCTCGCTTGTCTCTTCCTTTGGCTATTCGAGTTCTGCATTCAGATGCTTTATGTCCCAGCTTTTTACAAAAATTGCACTTGTAACGTTTTCTTTCAGACTTTTCTGTCTCCTTTTGGTTTGATTCAATATTACTAGACTTATAGCTAGTTTTCTTTGGATTTGAGTACCTTTGCTTAGACACAAACAATGCTTCCGAGTCATCTCGGATTCCTTTGCCTTTTCGTGCATTGAATTCTTCGAGTAGTTTCACTTTGAGAGCTTCGGTGTCAGGTAGTTCATCTCTTGCTTCTATAGCGCATCGAAAGTTGTCATACGAATCAGGGACACTGTACAGGAGTAATATAGCCAATAGGTCTTCAGAGATTGTAATATCCATCTCATATAGTTTGTCAACCGTATTAAGAAAATTGGTTACATGACTGGCCATATCATCGTCTTCTTTCATTTTCGTGAATAGGAGCCTTTTTAACAAGGACGTCTTCTTTGCCGGTCCCTTTGACTGGTAGATACTCTCGAGTTTAATCCACATTTCCCTGGACGTAGTGCAGTTTTTGACGTGACACAATTCGGAAGGATTGATAGCGAGTGTTATATCAGCTTTAGCCTTGTGGTCGTTTTTATCCCACGCTGCTATTTCAGCGGTGTTCGCATCGGTGGCTGGTACAGCCTGTTCGGGCCTAGGTTTTGTTCCATCGACGTATTCCCATCTGTCGTTTTTTACTAGGACAGCTTCGATTTGTTGCTTCCAAGTGTCATAATTCTCCTTACCCAATCTGTCCATTTGGATTGCGAATCCTGAGGCCATGATTGTTATTCTCCTTACACAACTTTCAGACGGTAGCAAACTTTTGGGGTTAGCTTTGCTTCTTTCTCCGTCCTGGTCGGTGACTGAGATTCCTTTTTTTTTGTTTTTACACACGCACGCAGTTCGTTCGTCCTGGACCCATAACCTGTTGTTTTAATGCAATTTATTCATGAAATACAACTTATAAAAGAAGAAATACACTTGCGCATGTTAACGAACATAAGAGCACAGCCTTCTTTAATACCTAGCCATGCTAAGAGTAAAATGGCAACACCGAAGGAGTCCGGCCTCCTGTACCTAACTCAACCTGCTCCATCGGACTCCACACATGCTCCCAACTTCTCTCTATCGGACTCTCGGTTTCCCGCCTGTTCTTTAAATGTGTCTTCTCCATAAAATAAACTCACACGAGGCTTGACTCGTAAAATGTAGGAAGCAATAAGAAAATTTGTCAGGAATAAGGCAGGTAAGGTAAGATTTATTTGTTTCTTTTAATTTATAATTACGCCGGAGATCTTTTTTTGTAAGCTGCACAGTTGTTTATTGATACATTCCAATTTTAATATTAATAGTATTATATAATTTTGATTTATTGTATATA